TTTTTTTAATCAGCGGTATGGCTTCTATAAGACCAAATATCCACTTTAAACATGGCGCCCTTAGTTTTACACAAATAAGAGAAAGGCTCTTTTTTGTATTTGTATTTGAGTGCCCATTTACTCACCATGCCCAGATGTGGGGGGTATGACCCTTTAACTTCATTCCCACAACTCCTTGGGTTCTGTAACAGGCCCAGGGAAGATGGGTTTTTCAGATTCCCTCCCTCAGCAACTTAGAATGGCTACACCTAGTGAGGCAGAGATAGCTGGTCAAGTGATCTATAGCCAGGTAAGCAGCCCTTCAGTGTCAGAAATGGGTTATGGGCAGGCAGGTCTGGGCCTAATAGTACTCAACTTCTGGAAAGCCTAGCAACTGTGGAGAGCCCCCCCCCCCCCCGAATGCTGCCCTAGTATTCCAGTTCCAAGTGGGGTGGCCCTTTGTCCTTGAATCCCACCAGATGTTCACCAGAGCTACCCTGGACTTTTCTGCTATTCTGGATGCTATTTGTGAGGATATTCACTGTTTTAGGCTACACGCACACTGGTCGTTTAGCCCATGTGTGTCAATAATAGTGTTTCTACATGCCTGGAACACAGGAGCAGGTGCTGTACACACACAGTACCCATCCCTGAGCACATACATCCCTAAATGCGGGTGTCAGCTACTGAGTTCTTCAAGAGTTGGTTCACCTTTAATCACATTTGCCAACAATCATACCTACGCATTACAGCATCCTCAGTAAATTACTATGAAGTCCCCCATTTTGTAAAAGAATGCTTACTCTTCAACCAGGGTTCCATGGAACCCTAGGATTACTCCAAAGCTTGCTAGAGGTTACTTGAGCAATGAGCAGTTTTTGCTCTCTCAGATAAGTTCTCACTGACACCATTGATCTTTTTAGCTATCTGTAAGGGGTCAATTCTTTTGACTGACCACTATTGTAAGATGGGGCATGCTCAAACAGTCTGTGGACCTGAAGAGGTTGACTTTTTCCCTCCAGAGGGAATGGATCTGTGCACTGGGAAGAGGCTGCTTGTCCCTGTAGCCCTTTGGCCTGGATGCCTGGACTATTTTACAAGAAACTGTACCTATGGACTTTTTTTTTTCTGCCAGAACCCTGTGAGTAGAGCCTAATTTCTGTGTTAAAGCTACATCATGGTCCCAAGCCATGAACTGTGCACTGTTCCAGTCTGCCCTTTACCTGTGCTCAAACTACTTCATGGTCCCCATCCATGAACCGTAGAATGTTCCAGTCTGCCTTTACCTGTGCTCAAGTTACTTCATGGTCCCCAGCCATGAACCGTAGAATGTTCCAATCTGCCTTTACCTGTGCTCAAGTTACTTCATGGTCCCCAGCCATGAACCGTAGAATGTTCCAATCTGCCTTTACCTGTGCTCAAGCTACTTCATGGTCCCCAACCGTGAACCGTAGACTGTTCCAGTCTGTCTTTACCTGTGTTCAAACAATTTCATGGTCCCCAGCTTCCTGCTAGAGAGATTTTTTTTCCTATCCCAGTGACACCTAGGACATTGCTGTAAGCTGATTTTCTTGTCTCCTCTATGTGGAATATATTCTGTATATTAGGATCTCTCAACTAGAGTTCCATGGAACCCTAGGGTTACTCCATAAGTGGCTAGGGATTACTTGAGGAATGAGCAATTTTTGCCTCTCAGATAAGTTCCCACTGAAACAATATATTTGTAGCTTTATGTAAGGGAGGAATTCTTCCCAATGACCAGGAATGCAAAGCATATTCTTCCCACTGACCACCAATGTAAGGTATATTCTTCCGACTAACCATCACACATACTGTATATCACAGGTTGTAGATATAGTAATTTTTAGCAGGGGTCTCTCAGACCAGAAAGTTACTTCAAGGGTTCCTCTGTGTTGAAAAGCTTGACAAAGGTTGCTCTATATATCCCTTTGGCTAGTAGTGGCTGGTGACAGATTCACTGTCTATAATGTTTCCATTGCCGGAAGATCTGTATTACGGGGGTGACAGATGCTGTACACATAGTGACAGTGGATTAAATTGGACGGAATACATTGCTTCTTATTTTCCATACACATCATCACAGACAGACATAAACCTTATACATGACACAAAGGGCAAGGATCAGCTGTGTCCAGGGAGTTCAGTTGAGCACTTTGCCATGAACCTTGCAGCAGTTGGCTCTTTAAATGTGACTGAGCGCAATTAGATAGGATTTAGGAGAAATCCATACAAAAGCTCATTGTACAATTTAAAATGTACTGACATCAGCAAACTAAATTGGCTGTAAGAATAGCTAATGCCATCCATGTGTTTGATTGTTTTTATTCCTGCATATCAGTCCAACCAAATATCATGTGTCAGTTCTTAGACGATGCTGGAGGGATATAGTCAGATAGAAGATTTTGTAGAAGTGAAGATCATAGCTAACCAAACTGATCACCAATCATCCAAAGATGTTGGCAAAAAATAATAATTATACATGTTTCGAGCCTCATTGATTTAAATGTTGTAAAAAAAACCCTGAATATTTACTTTAGTATGTATACTTAAAGAATAGATGAACTTTCAAAGTGCACTTATTGTATTTACTGCCCCCATTCCCAACCTACCCAACTCTCCCCTTCCCAGGTGATTACGTACCTCCAACTCACAGCAGTGGTCTCCCACAATGCTTCCCCTCTGCACTGGCTATGTCAGCCCCAAGGCTGGAAGGAATATACTGTACATACTGTATCTCCTTAAATGATTAGTGCCATTCTGATACATGCCTAAATGGCCTTCAGTACACTTGCAAGTCTCATTTTACTTTAGGGGCACTGAAGCAAAAAGCATAATTCCAGGCACAGACATTTTTTATACTTTATAAAGTGTAAAAAAGTTACCTCTGGTCTGGTGTATTAGATATGCAGATAGTGGCCAGAAGTACAGCACTAGCTGTAGTATCGTATCTGGTATATACAAATGTATGAATTTAAGAGAAATGATCTGCCTATTGAAGACACCTGACCAGAGGTAGCTTTTTTGCACTTTAATAAATTATAACAATGTATTTGCCTGGAGTTATGTTTAAACCTTTTCAAAGAAAGCTAAAATGGGAGACAGGTGTAGAGCGCTCCTAGTTAGGCTTGCACTGTACTCAGAGGAGCAGTGGTTGTGTGGTTGATTGCCCCCCCCCCCCCCCGCCTCCAGAAGAAATTTCTGGAACATGGGAAGGGAGAATTCAAATGACCTGCCTGAATTTTGAGCAGGGCTCAGCCAATCCCTGTGAAGGTGTGCCCAGATGGTGCATGTTTTTAAATAGTCTGGAGCCCTGAAGAGGTTGACTTTTTCCCTCCTAAGGGAATTAATCTGTGTGCTGGGTAGAGGCTGCTTGCCCCTGGAGCCCTTTGGCCTGATTGCCTGAACTACTACTACTACTACTGAACTACTACTGAAGCCTCTCCCCGATTCTCTGCCTCCCTGTGACAGCAAGCCACAGATCTTCTCCCCGCACTTGCTGTCACTATTTGAAAAAAACGAAGCCGCATGAGGCTCTGCCTACCCAGCCACATCATTCATTCGTTCTGTGGATGGAAGAACTACAACTACTGCCAGCCTATGCGGCTGATGGCTTGTAGTTTCCAATGAACTACCAGGGCACTGGTGAGCTCCCTAGGTAGCTCATTGATCCTTCCTGTCATTCAGTAACACCTATACGATATATAAGTAGACAGTATACTGAGAGATTCTGCAGGATTCAGGCATTGCACCCGCAATCTGATGATCGCGGGTGCAATGCCTTACTGGCTGAAATGGAATAAATAAATAAATTCACTTTTTTCACCAGCAAAAAGATGTGCATTTATTGTTTTTTTAAAAGGTGACCTTATCCTTTAACATATGTGTCACCTTCTGTAATCCTAGTAATTCATACAGATATCGTGCCTTGATGGTGTGTCATTGTAATGGTTACCATATCTCTGTATACCTCTTGCAAACCTTAATAAACATTTATTGAGAAAGATCAAATTTATGCAGAGTCTTTGTGTCTTTTTCAATGACTGAATCTCCAGCTTGCTCCTTACTATGCAAATGAGTGATTGTTTCTGAATACGCTTCTTTAAGTTGGAAAGCACCCTTGACCCCCGAGAAAATGAGACACAACATGCGCCTCCTTCTCCATCCCAATCTCCAAACCACTAGCAAAATGCATTTGTCTGCAAGTAATGAGAAACCAGGCAAGCTGGAAAACCAATTATATGCTTATATATACACCACTGCAGTGTATTAAATATATCTCTGGTAGTATGCAATGCCGACAAAAGTTTTCTATCTCTAATAGAAATAACCACGCCGGTGAAATACAAATCAGCTCAGGGACAGGCTGCTGGGTGATCTGTCCCGCAAAGGAATCCATGCCAGCGGGGAGACAGCTGATTATGGTGTTGTTACAAGAGCATCCTGAAGTATTGGGGGATATCGGAACTAATAGTCCCTCCAAAGAACACATCCCACGACCTGGCTCCTTACTAATGCAGCCTGCAAACCGCTGGAGCCAGCGTGGGCCGTGAGAATGTCACAACATCAATCTTCTACCTTCGGCGTGAACCTGCAGGTCCTTGGCTGCAGGAGGTGACAACTGTGAGGGTGACAGCTGACTCCAGGGAAGAAAACAGGAGCTGCATAGCATTAAAAACAGTCGCTGGGTGTTATTGTCGCCTTTCCTCTGCAACAGTAATAAAGAGTGAACAGACTTCTAAGCAAAGCCATTTATAAACGAGCTGAACTCCAGGTCCTCCACACAGTTAAATACACAGATGAAATGCATATAGCAAAGGATTTGTATTTAAATGAAATGAAAACGCTATTTTCAGGGAGACCCAGGGGGTCCATGTGGCCCTGAGGTTTACACAGCTTTGCCACATAGCACTGTCCTATCTGGCAGGACAGAGGACCTGCTTTTACTCTACTGCAGTTAAGTAACACTTACAGGTCTTGTTCCTCCCCTAGCCTGTGATTGGATAGTGAAAGATTTGGGCAGTGCTTCCCTGCGGCTCTCCATGTGTGGCCTGGTGGGAGTATCTGGTGCAGCGTGGCGTGTTCTGTTTCCTTCTGACAGGGGACCAGGGGCGGACTGACAACTCATGGGTCCCCCGGGCAATAGGGGATCATCAAAAAAAAAAAGCATGAAAATGCATTAAAAACACACAAAAAAACCAGAGTGAAAACGCATCAAAAAAACACTTCAACTGCACGTGCACAGATGTGAACCTAGCCTAGCCTAAACAAAAGCTGGGCAGGCCAAAGACCAAAGTCAAAGTCCCCCTCCCCAACTTGGTAAGACATGATTTGTTTTGTATATTTCAAATAAATGAGTGAGTACAATATTTTATAGCAGCAGTGGAGCTCATGGCAGCTAAGTCTTAGGCTTGGTTCACATCTGCGCGGGTGGTGTCGCTGTGGGACCCGCACAAATACCTGCAGCCGCAGTACCCACACAGATGAATGCGTTACCCCACACAAATACCTGCAGCCACACCACCCACATAGAGGAATGCAGGACCCGCAGGCGGTGCCATTAATTCTAATGGCATGCCACCTGCACTGGAATTTGCAACAGTACTAGGAACCTCTGTTCCCTTTCGGGCTGCGATTTTTGGAGAAGTGCAGGGACCTGTCTTGGGGCACAGGAGTCCATTCAAATGAATGGGCCCTTGTGTCCATGCAAATCGCAACCCGCACGGCCGTACATATGTGAACCTGGCCTTGACTGAGGGAAATTAAGAAAATCGAGGCTAGTACTTACCGCCTACCTCTTAACAACAACCACCCTCCCACCTGAATAACCACGCAACTCTCCTTTTTGGTGAAAAACTGGCCATAGCAGCCCCATTTATTTAACATAACTCTTACAAAACATAACATTTCCTCTGGTACAATTACACAATAATAACTGACATTAACAATCCCCCAACTGGGTCCCAGGTCTTTGAAGGCACTCTTACTCACAACAATCACTTGGATGTATCCGACGCCCAACGAAAAAGGCCCTCAGCTGCTGCCACACCGCCTCAGGGACAATACTACAACTACCTAGTTCCAGATACAGCCACTGACCTCCTCCCACCTTACCAACCACCTTATAATTGGGAAGGGACACCCATACCTATGATTGGCCCAACCCATAATCCACCAACTTGTCACTCCAGCACCGCCTTCAAAGACCCATCGACCCCTGCCGGCTGCCATGACGAACAGAAACAGACAGCACCCCAGGACGTCAAAATTGTGAAGCAAGAAAAGAAACAAAGGAAGGAACCCACACCAAACAACACAGGACAAACACAAAAAGAACAAACAACAAAACCTCACCCGTGCTGGCACAAGCTCCGACTAACCCCCGACAAATTCCAGCCCCTCTCCTCATCCTAGTGAGACCACCCTCCAGCCCGATTGCTCCAATGTGGTAAGCAACCATCCCCCATCTCCTATACTCCCCCCCAGCTCCCGTCTCCGCCTCGACTGCAAGCCCCAGTCATGCTGGCCCTCCCTTTAGCTTTGCTCGTCCAGGCCCTGACATAGTGTTGACAACTCTGCTGGTGTCAGCTCACATGGTACATGCAGCAACAATCTCGGTATGCAAAAGTGTCATTGACACAAGCATATATCAGCATATCAAAGAAAAATATATGTCCTAAATAATGAAACAAGCTTAGGTTAATGTTTGTTGACGTGAGGTTGGGAAGGCATCCTGATGGAAATAAACTGCATGGGCAATGTCATTCCATGCCCTCTCCTGCCTGCAGCAATCCCTGTAATTATTGTCCTTGGGACTGTAGAGCAATGTCCTTTCACCAGTTGTATCAGCACTTTGGCATCCAGTATAGGCTGGCCTGCTCTCCCCATTTTATCTGCAGCCTGCTTAGAGTAGATGCTGCTAGGAGGTAGAGGTTTTTAATGCAGTCCCATTGAAGTCTATGGGACCAAAAATGCCCTGTGTTCTACCAAAACTTTCAAAACTCTCACTGTAGTATGTTGCATAGGTGTCATCATTCACCACAGAGAGTAAAGTGAATCCAACACAACAAACACTTTTCTCCTGTGCTAGGAAAAGACTCAGTAGACCCAATAGGAATGTTCAGGAATTTTCTGGAATATGCACTGCTTGCTGCCCTCAACAGACCGGGGTGGTTCAAATACACTGGATGCAAATAGAGACACAGAAAAAGGGCGCACCGACCTAGTGCATTATCGTTTAAAGATTTATTGAAGAAACAAAGTAAGTATCATACTCACAAAAAAAAACACAGGCATGTCAAACTGAACAAGATGTAGGATCCAAACAAGATTTGAGTCCATACGATGGAACCCTGGATGACCAACTGGCTAACGCGTTTCAAGGACACAACCTCTTCCTCAGAGCCAACCTTAAGTGAGTAAAGTGAGTTCTGTTGTCATATATAGTGATTCTGTCTTCCCGTATAAGGCCTCGTTTGCAGTTGTAGTTGGGGGGGGGGAATAAAATCAAGTAGTTGAGACATGGTTGTACTGCCTCCAATTGGTTAAAGCAAACAGTGATGAGGTGATACAACACCCCCACCTCACCACCTGTCAAATGCTCTCTGAAGAATGATCCAAACCCAGATAGCTTTTTCAGAGAGCAACACTTGTGTGAACTAGCCCTTTCTGAAGGAGATATATTTTCTTACTTCCTATCTGGAGAAACCAATGTCACTGGGACAGAAAGTGAAGGAAATCTCCCTAGTGGAGCCCCAGACAGTAGTAACTCCCCCCACACACACACACAATGTGGTGTCTTCAGTGCTCTGCCCCCCCTACCCTGCACATTGCTGCAACAGTGCTGCACAGGACACCAGGCAATGTTGACTGGAGCAGTGTTCAGGGGGAGTGTTGGACAACTGAAGGCTGGCACTGCTATATGTCTATGAAAGCCATAGTCTCACCCTCCAGCAGGGGTGGACTGACAACTCATGGGGCCCCCGAGCAATAGGGGATCATGGGGCCCCTGTGTCCTTGTCCAAACTCAAACCACACCCAAAAAAGCTTGTGAAAGGTACCAGGGGCATCTCATGGAGCTCCCTACTGACCCCGGGCCCTCGGGCAGTGCCCGAATGGTCAGTCTGCCCCTGCCCTTCAGAGTTCTGCTAGCTCAGGGTACTTTAGCCCTTTCTGCAGCACCACCTATCCTCAAAAAGAAGAGTGTATTCATTACTGTATATACAGCCTGAGTGCATTACAGTATATTATATAGAAACTTCACTTGGCCTTTACATTTTTACATTACAGAAAGGGGCAGTTATAAATGTGATAGCTGGAACATGTCCTTTTATTCTGATGCTTGTCCTCCTAACAATGCCTACCATATAAAATGTAAGGGATACCTGGGTTATCGCTGACATAGGACCTCTGTTCTTTGTAATCTGCGAAGAAACAAATCCAAAGCATCAATGAGCCGCCTGATAATTAGGCTGCTAATGGGAGCGATAAGAGCCGGATCTTAACAAGCAAGGAGTTTCCACTGATAAATGATTGCAACAATTTGCCTGTAGTGCTGTGTCATTTGGAGAAGTCAAGGTGCAGACAGCATGTCAACAACTCTGTCTAGTGGAACATCACGAGAGGTGTCACTGTGAAGCTTTACACACTCTAAAATCTTATAAATATGGAAGTCAGAAATTTATACTAACACAAATTATTTGCAAACCCAAAAGCCTTCAAGTGGACTTGCAGCATAAAAGCTAAGTAAACATTTAAAATGTATATATATGAACAGTTTGCTCCCCAAAAACCTTTAGCAATCATCAGCTTCACCTAAATCTCATATCCATGCCATACTATATAGCTAGGAGAGTAACACAACTCTTCACATTTGCAGCTCTGGTGCTTTCATCTGTTCCACTACTTGCCATCTCATTGAATTAGAAATAAGCACTGGAGACTTTCTCCTTTTCCTGTAAATCCACACTCGGTGCTTGAACTGTGCAAGCTTTACATCTCTGTGCAATGCAGTACAGCCGGGTTGCTGTAGGGTCATACACCCGTGTTCCTTCATCATCAAGGCTCTTGTTTCTTTGCTGCTATGGAGCAAGGCTTCCAGACATTGATGAGCATGCCAGTTTCCCTTTTTAACAGCACTTGGGCTGAACTGCCAATCACCAAGCCGGAACATGTAGGGGCAGTGACATTGTCCACCCAGGTAAGCTCTGACATCAGCTTATTCAGGGTAAGCTCCTGCGTGGGCTAAGGAATGTGGAAAATATGTATAACTAGTTGAGGGCATCAGCAGACATTGTCAATCAACTCTCAATTGCAGACAACAGTGTCTCTTTAAAGTGGTATATCAGGTCCACCAAAGTGTATAAAATAACATGAGCAGTAAAGTAAAAACACATTGGGGTGCCTTCAAGTACCTGTGTATGTTTTCATATCAACACAGAAAGCAAGGAGCTACACAACTTCCAGAAGTCCAAAATACATTTATTAATATCATCCAATACAGGAAAATCCACCTTCTACTCTAGTTTGCTTCATTCCATTGGCAGCTTACTCATACATCTCAATGGCTAAGTTCCTAATGAAGTGAAATGCGTAAGCGGAGCAGGCGGATTTATGCTGTATTGGATAATATTAATAAATGTATTCTGGACTTCTGGAAGTTGAGTGGTTCCATCCCTGCATTTTGAGTGACTATTGCTAGCGAATCACAGAAAGTTTTTGAGGCTGCGCCCTTCAGTTGGTGTTCTGAGGTGTTCTTAAACTGAGGTATGCCTCTATCAGTAAAACACGTACACAAAAAGACATTACATTGTCAGGACATTTGACCTTTCTAATGTGTATCATACAACCCATCAATTTTTTTGTAATAAAAAATATTTAAAATGTTTCGACCAATAAAGTTAGTCTATACATTTTGGTGGAAATGAGAGTTTCATGTAAAGGCTAGATTCACACTTTTGATGTTTTGGAGGCTTTTTTGGGTGTTTCTACAGGCTTTACGGTTCATTTTTGAGGGTGTCATGGGCATGAGCTTCTTTTAATTTTTTATTTTTTGCCAATATAAGGCTACACACACAAAAAAGAAAACACACACACACAGTAGCTGTTTGCATGTTTTCAGGCACTCCTGTTGAAGTCTACTGGGGCCAAAAAATGGTTGAAGCTTATAGTTCAAAAGAAGCTCATTTACTTTTATGAGTTACAAGCTTGAAGCTTCAAGCAAGATCACGTTCAGGATGGGCACAATTGAAAACCATGGGATTTTGGATGCTGAACGTTTTAGAGTTTCAAGCTACAAAACACTCAGGTGTGTATGGGACCTAAAAGATAATTCCCACAAAGGTGTTTCTATACTCCAATCATGTCTACACTTGTTTTTTATTTGGCAGCTGTATAGCTAGTTTTTTTTACAAGGTGTTATAACCTTGATTTGACCTACCTGGGTCTTGATCTTTTTTTTTTTTTTTTGAATAACTGTAATTTGGTATTAAGACATTTCAGCATAAACTTACCAAACAATGTGTCGTTAACTTATTAGTCCCACACCGACCGTTGGTGGCCCTTTTTAGTTTTGCTTTGTCAGTAATGTATTAGCCCCACACTGACGGTTGGTGGCCCTTTTTAGTTTTTATTTGTCATTAACTTATTAGTCCTACACTGATGGTTGGTGGCCCTTTTTAGTTTTTATTTGTTATTAACTTATTAGTCCTACACTGATGGTTGGTGGCCCTTTTTAGTTTTGCTTTGTCAGTAACGTATTAGCCCCACACTGACGGTTGGTGGCCCTTTTTAGTTTTTATTTGTCATTAACGTATTAGTCCCACACCGATGGTTGGTGGCCCTTTATAGTTTTTCTTTGTCATTAACTTATTAGTGCTACACTGATGGTTGGTGGTCCATTTTAGTTTTTATTTGTCATTAACGTATTAGTCCCACACCAACGGTTGGTGGCCCCATTTTAGTTTTTATTTGTCATTAACGTATTAGTCCCACACCAACGGTTGGTGGCCCCTTTTTAGTTTTTATTTGTCATTAACGTATTAGTCCCACACCAACGGTTGGTGGCCCTTTTTAGTTTTTATTTATCATTAACGTATTAGTCCCACACTGATGGTTGGTGGCCCTTTTTAGTTTTTATTTGTCATTAACGTATTTGTCCCACACCAACAGTTGGTGGCCCCTTTTAGTTTTTATTTGTCATTAACGTATTAGTCCCATACCAACGATTGGTGGCCCTTTGTAGTTTTTTTTTGTCATTAACTTATTAGTCCTACACTGATGGTTGGTGGCCCTTTATAGTTTTTCTTTGTATCCTAGTCTCATACTTTGTAATGCCTTACTAATAAACAACAGGATATCACTAATGCACTTTCTTTTATATTGTACTCTGTTCTCTAGAAATGCATTAAAAGGAATGTGCGATAATACCAACACTGGCTGTCTTTGTAGTGAACTTTGGTGTGTTATTGGTTGTTGGGGATAGTTTTGTTTGCTGGAAGTGGAACTGCTTTTATCTCAGAAGATTCCTTTATCTCGAGGGGTGAAGAGTGTTCAATATTTCCTTTGTATGTTTGTTCCATTTGATGCAAAGACAAATATCGGGCTCTAAAACTAGGACACTATGGTGAACTGTGAAAAGAATTGCTCCAGTGTATGTCTGTATTATATTATACACAGCCCTATGTTAGATTTCCAGCATGCTTCATCCCAGTGTATTTCACTTTTACTATCTGACTGTCTATTTAACATGGTGCTTATTACAGATTGGCTACATTATTGCAAGATCGTGTTTATTTGAAGTAATTGAAAGTAATAATAATACTGCATTGCAGACAGGCAAAATGGAAAAGGGAAAATGGGAACTGACAGCTTTATTGACAGTAAATCACAGATACAGATGCTCATGGAGTCAGGTACACTACATACAAAGATATGCTGAACACAGGTGATTTTAGGTAGCTCAAGCGTGCTACTAAGATCATTCATAAATTTCACAGTAGTAATCATTCACTTATGCTTAATTTGCATGGGCGATTAGGAACGGGCAATGTATTCCTGCGGCAGTCACAGGTGTATGTGAACAACTGCGGCCAGGAAACCTGTAGAATTGAAGGACAGGCTGATAGCATCCACATCTGTCCGCAGGTAATAGCACACTGAGAGATTACTTGCATTTAGGGACAGATGATGGAGCCTGGACACAGAAAGATTTCATCCAGGGCGATCATCTGTCCCTAACTGTAAATAATCGCTCCTCTCGTGATTGCAACTGGGTATCCCATGCAGGCAAAAATGGCCCTTCACACAGATAGGCACACCTGTGTACTAATGAACAAAGAACAAAAAAGGCGCACTCTCATCATGCTTTACCGCGGTACACCACGTGTTTATTGTGCAATCAAATAGATGTATACTCACAAACCAAAGGATAATAAAAGCAGTATGAATAGTCCGCAATGGCAGTCAATGCAATGCTGTGCCCCAATTGGGGATAAGAGCTCTGAGGAAGGGGGTTTGTCTCCCGAAACACGTCAGCTTATCCCCAATTGGGGCACAGCATTGCATTGACTGCCATTGCGGACTATTCATAGTGCTTTTATTATCCTTTGGTTTGTGAGTATACATCTACTTGATTGCACAATAAACACGTGGTGTACCATGGTAATGCACAATGAGAGTGCGCCCTTTTTTGTTCTTTGTTCATTAGTACTCAGATTTCCCGATCTTTGAAGGGCTGCACCTCTTCCTTTGCCATTTTGAATTTCTTTTAGTCTGCATGAAGATCTGAGCGCTGGTTTCGATTGTTTGTCTTTAGGCACACCTGTGTGAATTAGGCCTCGAAGCATATGTCTACTCACCTTCTAGAGCAGTGGTTTCCAAATTGCGGCCCAGGGGCCAGATGCAGCCCCTTCTTTGCTTTCATCTGGTTCTTGAACCACTTTTCCTCCCCCTGATACAAGACATTATTCCTCCCACTGACACCAGCAATGGGTCCTAATTCCTGCTACTGACATAACCAACGGGCACTATACTTCCCACTAACACCAACCATAGGGCGCTATTTATCCCACTGACACCAACCATGGGATAATGTTCCCCTCACTGACACCAAAAACGGGGCACTATTCCTCCTACTGACAACAGCAATGAGTTCTAATTCCTGCTATTGACATAACCAATGGGCACTATACCTCCCACTAACACCAACCATAGGGCGCTATTTCTTCCACTGACACCAACCATGGGATACTGTTCCCCTCACTGACACCAACAACAGGGCACTATTCCTCCCACTGACACCAACCATGGGATAATGTTCCCCTCACTGACACCAACAACGGGGCACTATTCCTCCTACTGACAACAGCAATGAGTCCTAATTCCTGCTACTCACATAACCAACAGGCACTATTCCTCCCACTAACACCAACCATAGGGTGCTATTTCTTCCACTGACACCAACCATGGGATACTGTTCCCTTCACTGACACCAACAACAGGGCACTATTCCTCCTACTGACACCAGCAATGAGTCCTAATTCCTGCTACTGACATAACCAACGGGCACTATACCTTCCACTAACACCAACAAGGGGGCTCTATTCCTCCTACTGACACCAACAGGGCACTATTCCTCCTAATGACACCAATGAAGATGCACTTTTTCTCCTACTGACACCAATGATAGGACACTATTTCTCCCACTGACACAAACAATGGGGTGCTATCCCCCCCTTAATACCAAAGATTCATTGGTTACGCCCACTAACACCAGGATAATTTTATCTCCCAAAAGCCACAGTCCGGGCCCCCCTGAAGTCTGAAGGCCAATAAACTGGCCCCTTGTTCAGTAAGTATGGAAACCCCTGTTCTAGAGTATTTCCCAGCAGTGTTTCTTTATCTTTGTTCCTGTAGCAATAAACCATTTGTATTGCTCCCTGTGAAATCCCATTACCAGGCTTGTAAAAATCTTGCAAGGACAGTTGCTGAGGGTTAATTTCCTATTGATATAAACATGCCCCCAGAACTGCATCACCCAGGACCCCTCTGCCAACACACAGAGAGGTTGATTTACTAAAGGCAAATAGACTTTTGACTTTGCAAAGGAAGTTGCACTTTGCAAGGACATTTTCCCCAGAGCTCAGTGAATCAGGTTAAGCTCTGCTAAAGTCTATCATCCAATCATTTGCATACAAAATGCTGTTTTTTATTTTTTCCTTGCATGTGATTGGGTATTCTTTGCAAAGAGAAATTTCACTGCATTCACTAAGCTCTCAGGCAAATTCCCTTACAAAGAGCAACGTCCTTTACAAAGTGAACAGCTTATTTGCTTTTAGAAAATCAATCCCAGTGTGTGGCCAGGCTCTTGTGAGTTAAAGCAGCAGTTTTGTCGTAATATATAAAAAATAAAAAAAGTCAATGTATCCATAAGGAGTGGGACAGAGAGGGATGGGGGAATTGCAGATATTTTCACTTTAATATTGCCTAAACCAATCTCTGTGATTTAATTTCATTTTTCTATGTATTTGCCTTTCATGCTTTATCCACCTGTATACAAGTTTTCTATGCGAGCACAGGAAATTAATAGTCATATCATGTTTCTGATTGTATGCTCAGGCAACGTCTACAGGGAATGTCACCTTAATGGCAGCTGGGCAGGAAGAGGAGATTATACACAGTGCCAGGAAATACTAAAACAGGAGGTAAGACAAACTAAAGAAATATCCCTGATTGAGAAATATTAATTCAAGTTTTGATAGATAATTGCACTTATACTGTATTTTTTATAATATTGACGGAAACTTGCTAAGGAAAACATGTTTTTTTTAACATTACTGAACCCTGCTTCTGAAAATATTTACCTGGCTTCAATGCGGATCCAGAATCTTCAATATTTTCTGGCTGGGAACCAATCGGCATGGTTCCTAGTCATGTGACCAGCATGACAGCCATTCATGGTGATCACATTGCACTGTGCACAGAGAAAGAAGCACAATCTTAAGAAGGATGACAGCATGTTAGCATAATTCATTTAAAAGGCAGGGGCGGACTGAGCATTTGGAAACTGGTGCACTGCCCGAGGGCCCAGGGTCAGTAGGGGGCCCCATGAGATGCCCCTAGTACCTTTTTCATAGGCTTTTTTGAGTTTGGGCAAGGACACAGGGGCCCCATGATCCCCTATTGCCCGGGGGCCCCATGAGTTGTCAGTCCGCCCCTGTTAAAAGGTTTAGGCTCCAAGCATACGCTAGAATTTTTAAGCTCCTAGAAGCTATTTGCATATTTTTCTTAATTCTCCTAGAAAATAAAAAGTGTTATCCTATGTGTCCATGCACACTGCTTTAGGATATTAGTATTTTTTGGGCTTCAGCATCTTGTAGCAGAAAAAAATGTTTTTGTAGAGTTTTTGGAGCGTTTTTCCAGCTAACTGCTACTAAAATGCTCCTAACAGATTTTTTTTCTAGCTTTTTTTTTTTTCTCCATGTGTACTGTAAAAAAACACAAAAAAAACACTAACGCTCCTCAAAACTCCTAAACGCTTTTGAACGCTACTAAAACACTACTAAAAAATGCTATTACCAGCATTTTTCCCAGTGTTTTTTGAGCTATAGGCCTCTTTCACACGGGCGTTCCATATGTCCGTTTTTCATCTGTCCGTTTACGGAAGAAAAATAGACCCCCATGTATTTCTTTGGACTTGCGGATGTAAACGGATGAACATCCTTTAACATCCGTTTTTTTGAACGTAAGAAAACCCTTCAGCAAAAAAAAAAAGCAACGGACGAAAAATGGCTGTCAACGGATGTAAACAGATGTAAATAGACAGTAAACAGATGAAAATGGATGAAAAACGGATGTAAACGGATGGAAATGGATGAAAAATGGATGTAAACTGATCTACACGGATGAAAAACTGATGTAAATCAATGTAAATGGATAAAAAACTGATGTAAATGGATGAATAACAGATTAAAAAACAGATGAAAAAACGGATGTAAACGGATGAAAAAACGGATGTAAACTCATCTGTTTTTTCTTTGAAAAATGTGACTGAACCGAAGAAAAAAAAACCAGAACGCCCATGTGAAAGGACCCTAAAAAAAACGCTAGTGTGCATGGAGCCTTAAGTGTGCTTTCTGCATTTTTTTTTTTAAATATGAACAGGGCATTTATGAAAAGAGTGTGCCAAATAAAAGCTTTATATGCCCTTAAAAAGTGTAACATTTATTTGGGTAGGATAATTGGGCAGTACAGTGGCTAAATGGTTAGCACGTCCGCCTGGCAATACTAGGGTTCAAATCCCAGCCACAGCACCACCTGTCTGGAATTTGCATGTTCTCCCTGTGCCTGCGTGGGTTTCCTCCAGGTACTCCAGTTCCCTCCCACACTCCAAAGACATGTTGGTAGGTGAATTGGCTCCTGTCTAAATTGCCACTGGTATGTGTATGAATGTAAGTTAGGGACCTTAGATTTTAAACCCATGAGGGTTAGGGACTGATGTGAATGTACATATATATAAACCACTGTGTGAACTGATGCCACAATCAAACAAGAAAAACAAGGCATTTGCCTAGGGCAGCATTTTTCAGGGAGGGGCAGCACTGCCCCTCTGAAGAAGGGACGGAGGAAGAGACACACGCAGCATGGGAACCTGGTGGGTTCCGAGAGAGGTTGCGGGTTTTATGATGGTGTATGCACAGCCCGACTCTCGCTCCCGGGGATGTCCGGATCTGTGAAGGTGAGTGTCTTTCTCTCTCTCGCCATGGGGGATGGTGGCTGGTGTATGGGGGGCAGTGGTAGTGGAAGGCTCTTTCGGTTGAAAGTCAGGGTTGTTGTTGGTCAATGTCAGGCTCTCTCTGCGGGGGACGCCAATTTTTGTGTTGCCTAGGGCAGCACAAAACTTAAATACACCATTGGCCACACTATAAGTACTTGTAATAAATAAGGAGCATACAGATATGAAAGCAGAGTGATAAACTCATCACTACACTGCTTCTCCTTCACTGTCCAGTCAGGGTGGAGGTGGCTGGACTCAGAGGAAGGTTGAATGATGTTGACCATCACTCAGCCTGGAAGACTGAGGACATCTTGTGACAGAAAAGTACAATATATATGTAAAGCACTGCATAAAATTGACAGCGCTATATAAGTGTCTGAAATAAATAATTGGTATTCATAAAATTTGCTGAGTCCTTCAAACGCATAGGGTTTGCCTCAACTCCATATTAATCGTCAACCTGAACCTCATCCCTATTAGTAGCTAACACTGAACACACATTTCTGTCCAAAGCTGACCTCCCACCAATATTTCTGTTATAATAGATCTTTCACAAGTACATTTATATGGGCATTTACTAACCTCTTAAAGAAGGACCAAAGTCCACGATATTCATTTTTTCCTTCATTAGCTTGACTTTCCTCCTCCTCATCTTCTTCCAGGTGCTGGGCTGTAGGCCTCTCCTTTTCCCATCGTAGGATGACTGTACTCCTGCGCATGCACAAGAGTTCAGTCATCCCGGCACGCAGGATGCATTTACGCAGCTCAGTGTACATTCTACAGATAACTGTGAGCAGGCAAGTAGGTTCATTTTGTTGCAGAAGAATATATTTAAAACTGAGAAGTTTGTTCCGCTTTAACAGCCCTTCTGATGTATGATTCACAAAAAAAACGAGTTCATCTTCCCAACTGGTGGACTCCGGTGTGCCTAACTGACAGGTTTAGACTGCATTGATAATGCTGAAATGATATCACTGTCTGATGTAAATTGGACCCTGTAGCCTTAGTAGATGCATCCGTAGCTGCTATTTATTGTCCCGTGCTAAAAACGGGTGTTCATGGCTGATTTACTTTTCTGATGGCTTGCCTCTGGATATGAGTTATGTGTGTCTTAGACATCTCCGAAGATTTATTTTAACCATGAATTCACCTTCATTGGAGCATAAATAGGAAGGAAGCCATAACATGCCACGTACAGGTCATGTCACCTTATGAACAGAGACAAAAAAATAGACCATTTTCTATTTTAAAGCTAATAGCAAATATTGTCTAAACACAACATCTGTGTGTAATTTTACTTGGTGTGCTTTGTGTATTTCCTCCAGATCTCTGCAATAATCCAGCATTAATCCACTCCAAAACTCTAGTTTTTTTTTCTTTACTATGTTCAAATATTCAAAAATATGTTTTTAGTCACATAAAATATGAAATATTGCATATTATTCTTGATTTTTGCATTTGCCCATTTGCCGGCTGATAGATGGCGCTCCAGACTCTTTTTTACATCTACCGGGCTTTTTCCTTACTACATTGCTGAAAACAAACCTATTGTTTACATAGCTAATTAGCTAAAGCTTAAATTAGACACCCAGCAGAAGAGTCAGAGGAATCATTTTCTTCCTTTGTCTGCTATTTTTAGACAGGGCCACATGGAGATGAACATGTACAGTTGTGTTCAAAATAATATCAGTCAGACATCACTAACCTGATCAATCACTTTTTTTGGTAGAATTGATATTTCTACATGGCAAATAATTTACTAGCAGGTGTAGTAGAGTAATAGAAATCCAACAGACCCGACAGTCATGACATGCATGCTGCTGATTCTGTGTAATTGAATCACTAATTGAAAAGGGCATGTTCAAAATAATAGCAGTGTGGAGTTCTACTAGTGAGGTCATTCATTCTTTGAAAAACAGGTAGCAATTATTGCCCTTATTTAAGGAAGGAAGGCAGCAAATGTTGTACATGCTGGTTACAGTGAATTTCTCTCTGAAATTCTGAGGCAAATGGGTTGTTCCAGACATTGTTCAGAAGAACAGCGTACCTTGATTAAAAAGTTGATTGGAGAAGGGAAAACATATAAAGAAGTGCAGAAAATGATAGGCTGCTCAGCTAAAATGATGGCAAATGCTTTAAAATGGCAACCAAAACCTGAAAGACGTGGAAGAAAGCAAAAAAACTACCATTCGAATGGATAGAAGAATAGCCAAAATGGCAAGGACTCAGCCAACAATCAGCTCCAGGAAGATGAAAGAAGGTGTAAAGTTACCTGTGAGGACTGTTACAATTAGAAGACGCCTATGTGAAGCCAAGCTGTCTGCAAGAAGCCCCCCGCAAAGTCCCACTGTTGGAAAAAAGACATGTGCTGAAGAGGTTACAATTTGCCAAAGAGCACATTGACTGGCCTAAAGAGAAATGGTGCAACATTTTGTGGACTGATGAAAGTAAGATTGTTCTTTTTGGGTCTAGTGGCCGGAGACAGTTTGTCAGACGACCCCCAAACACTGAATTCAAGCCACAGTACACTGTGAAGACAGTGAAGCATGGTGGTGCAAGCATCATGATATGGGGATGTTTCTCATACTACGGTGTTGGGCCTATTTATCGTATACCAGGGATCATGGATCAGTTTGAATACATCAGAATACTTGAAGAGGTCATGCTGCCTTATGCTGAAGAGGAAATGCCCTTGAAATGGGTGTTCCAACAAGACAACGACCCCAAACACACCAGTAAACGTGCAACATCTTGGTTCCAGACCAACAAGATTGACGTTATGGAGTGGCCAGCCCAATCCCCGGATCTTCATCCAATAGAAAACTTGTGGGGTGACATCAAAAATGCAGTTTCTGAGGCAAAACCAAGTAATAGAGAAGAACTGTGGAATGTAGTCCAATCATCCTGGGCTGGAATACCTGATCACAGGGGCCAGAAGTTGGGTGACTCCATGCAACACAGATGTACAGCAGTTCTCAGAAACAGTGCGACTACAACCAAATATTCATTAAGTGATTCAAAGGAAAGCAAAATCTTCAAACATTTCTCAGTTTATATAGTGAATGTTTGAGTTTGGAAAGAAGAATACAAACACTGCTATTTTTTGAACAGTCTAATATTCACTTTTCTTCAATTTTTTTAGAGGAACAACACAAATTTGATCTATTTTTCTTCATGTTTTGATTTGGAATAGAATGTGTCGTGTTCCCAATGCATTTGTGTGTATGGAAATAAAAGCTATTAGAAGGATTTTGAGCTTTATTCACTTTTTTGAACACACTGCTATTATTTTGAACACAACTGTATGCCTGGGCAAAAACACATATGCAGTATATCTCTTCAATATTTGCACATTTTTTCATGCTTTGTTTCTTTAGAAATGTTGCAAGTGCAGAAAAATACCTTCTGATGTGTCATAAATCTATGAGCTTTGAAGTTCCTGTAGTGACATGACAATGCTGCCTCTGCTGCACTGAAATCCCAAGCATTTTTCTCAGTCCTGCTTGAATTCTCCTCTGCCAGACTACAGAACACCTTCCCATTAAGTTATGAGGATGTTCTGTAGTCCCAACACACTTTCTCTTCTATAGTCCAGCAGGAGAGAGCCCAGGCAGGGAGTTAGCAGCTCACTGAATTTCTGGCAGGATTAACAAGGTTTATTTTTTGTACTAGCGGCGTTTTTAGAGACACAAAACAGGGGGAAATGTGCATGTATTACAGATATACACTTTTTGAGCATTTTTCTTTTTTATTATTTTTAATGTTTTATTTTGCCCAGATATACACTTTAAGTTAGAGCTCCACAAACTCACCCATTCTAAAATAATACAAAATCTTGAAAAATGTCAGTTTAAATATGTGTAAACTTTTGAGCAAAAAAAATGGACCCAAAGCCAGTTATAAGGGTTGCTTCCTTAACATAAATCTTTAATCAGGATTATGGGAGTCGTGATGGTTGGCACTGTTCTGTACAGACAAGAGCTTAGTATTCCGTAACTAATCATTCTTATTTTACATAAATTCTACTGCTCTCACCTCTTTTAAATTAAAAATCTATTTTACATTCGGTAAACTAATTGGTTCTCCTATATCGTTCCAGCTCAGGATGGAACATTTTTAAAGATCCGCTGCATAAAGCAGAGGATCTGCAGCCAAGTTCTGTATATCTGGTATTACCAATTCAAGAATAATCTGCAATGCTAGAAATGAAAGTAAATGTACATAGCTATTATTTAGAATATTGCTTTTAGTGAGTGTGAAAACACTGGCGCATTATTATCCAAGCATTATATGTGGGGCAGTGTGGAAGGTGAATAAAAAATGTTTTTTTTTTTATTGGGTGCCCGATTTTTCTTACTTTGGGCTATGTTGCCTATTATAACCGGTGTGATTTGTTTCTTGACACCCATTTTCACTTTATAGGTTTTGTTGATTGTTTAAGCAGCTTTTCCATTTTTTGCTTCATGTTGGCTAGAATAGCTAATTATTCAATGGTAAAGGGGAAGCATATTTAAAAGATCGATTTTTACCTGGTTCAAGAGTCAATTCAGTTGGAAGCAGGGGCGGACTGACCATTTGGAAACTCGGGCACTGCCCGAGGGCCTGGGGTCAGTAGGGGGCCCCATGAGATGCCCCTGGTACCTTTTTCATAGGCTTTTTTGAGTTTGGGCAAGGACACAGGGGCCCCATGATCCCCTATTGCCCGGGGGCCCCATGAGTTGTCAGTCCACCCCTGATGTAGATGCTTCTGGCGATTGTCGAATTAAAAAATATTTTAAATGAACCTTTTTCTCTATTCTCCCATGAGTTGTCAGTCCGCCCCTGGGTGGAAGGAAGATAAATCTGTAGCAGAAATCACATATAAGGGCAGCATGGTGACTAAATGGTTAGCACTTCTACCTGGCAGCACTAGGGCTGTTGGTTCAAATCCCAGTCACAGCACCACCTGCCTGGAGTTTGCATGTTCTCCCTGTGCCTGCATGGGTTTCCTCCCACACTCCAAAGACATGCTGGTAGGTGAATTGGCTCCTGTCTAAATTGGCCCTAGTATGTGTATGTATGAATGTGAGTTAGGGACCTTAGATTGTACGCCCCTTGAGGGTTGGGGACTGATGAGGATGTACAATATAAATGTAAGGCACTGCATAAATTGACAGCGCTATACAAGTACCTGAAATAAATACATGTCACTTCAGTAAGTTTCTTTTGAAAGGCCAATGACAAGAGTAATAGATAGTACATGCTTTAATTGTTTAAAAGTGGATATTTCAGAAATTTTGCATGAATGGATTCCTAACATGTCATGATATACAGCAACAGTATCACTTTTCCAAAAAAATTTTCCACCTTTAGCATTTAAAGCAGTTCAGTGAAATGATGAGATGATGCTATCAGTCTGCTGCAGACAGGCACCAGAACATACAAGAATGTGTCATCTCTGAGCCAGCTTCTAGCTCCATGAAGTAGATGCTGAACCAGGATGATGCCTGAACAAAGATGGCTCCATCCATCTAGGGCTAAAAGCAGATGAAGCCATTGTCAGGGGGAGTACTGTGATCTCTGTGTGAGGTTATATACCCCTGGAAGTGGTACACTTACACATTACTTAGCATACGCTTAAAGTAGAACTATAGTCAAAACTTTTTTTTTGTCATTTTGGATAGAGTAAGGGAGGGTCATAAGCCCTGCTCAGTAGCTCTGAGGAAGAAGGGAACCCCCTTCGAAACGCGTCAGTTTCATCCTGAGAGTCTCCCCTCTTGATGGGACCCGTACGTGTCTGCTATCCCAGTGCTTTGATGTTGGATTTTATATGCCTTAGTTATTGCTACTTTTGTAAGTATACATCTCAATTCAATAAATTCACCCTTTGCTTACTGAGGTAATGCAAAAGGTTGGTGCGCTTCTGTTTTTGTTGTTCATTACAGTTTTTTGTTGGGCTTCGCCAGCCTTGTGTTTGAGCTGCACAACCTTTGATCAGCTATATATTTCATATATTGTTCCACCCTCTGATTTCTGATCTGGGTCTCTGAGCGCAGGAGGTGTTGTATCAGATTATTTTTTGCCATCTGTGTCCCATTGGGGAGAATTTGCTTCACTTCCTGTCCCATAGCCAAAATAGGAAGTGATGGAAAATCCCTGCAAATTAAGGGAATCCCTTGGACCACACAAGTCACCAGAATTGGTGTCCCCATTGGAAGATTTCCCCTCTATTACTTTTCTGGGGACAACCCAAAATGTGAGGTTTCTTTCACTTTCAATGATAATGGTAAACAGGACAAAGAGAGGGTGAATCTCCCTAACAGGGGCACAGACAGCAATAAAAACATGACAGGTGTTCTAATCCATCTCCACTCTATCCAAAACTGAAAAAATTAAAGTTTTGCCTTTAGTTGTAACTTAATATAAAACATATATTTGATGCTAGATCCATGTTTGATAACATGTTTAACTGGCAATCTTTTTTTCTTGGCAGAAAAAAAAGCAAGGTGCACTACCACATCGCCATCGTTATTAACTTCTTGGGACACTCCATCTCCCTGTGTGCACTCTTAGTGGCTTTTACTCTCTTCCTGAGATTGAGGTAAGGCTGCAGACTTGCAGAAGTGCAAAAGATGCAAAATATTGACTTTAACTTTCTATTTTTGATACACCAATGTTAATTTGAACCCCTTCACGCCTAAGGGTAAAACAAATCTTAACGCCTAAGCACAATTTTGCAACTTTGACATGTGTTAGCAAAACCGTCCATATCATTACAACTACTTTGTGCATCCAGGTGGATTATACCGCGTTTTTTTAGGACAAATTGGGCTTTCATTTGGTGGTAAATAGTAGCAGATATCTTCTGAATTTTTTTTTATTATCAAAGTAAAACTGGCCCAAAATAGTAAAAGAAATATATATATTATTTTTACATTTAGCTGTGTATTTCTTGCTACTTCCATAACCTACCACCAAAGAACAACCCAAAATAATTTCTCGTGCTCCTGTTGATTGCAACAATACCACATATGTGTATGTTAGTTGTTGTTTGTACCCGTAGTATAGCCCAGAAACAATAGTGTTTTTTTTTAAACTTTGATCTAGGTATTTTTTTAAATCTCATTTTTTATTGTTTTACTCGCGCTTGTGTTTTTTTTTTTTTCTCTCTGAAAGAACAGAGAGAGATACAATGTATCTCTCTCCTCCATTGAGAGAGAGAAAACGCAAGGGCAGACTTCACAGTGACTGATCACTGTGATAGCCAATCAGAGGCTATCACAGTGATCAGGTGACCCAGAATTGGGTGTTCCAGGTCCTGATCTTTAGAACAGGACCCAGGGCTTTCAGTGAGATCCCGGTCTCTCTGCTGGGAGCGCGCCATGCGGTGCGCTCCCAGCACAAAGAAAGGTACGCAAATTAGCAGCCCCACAGAAAAAAGTCCAGTCCAGAGGGGCCGTATATTTGCGTATGGTCGGCGTGAAGGGGTTAATCCTTTTTGTTAAATTTTTGAATATGGATACCAAGGGGGCTTTCATGACAAGGAGGGAGTTATATACCCCTATAAACTATGTAGACATGGGTTGCTTTTACATACATATTGATCTATAAAATTTTAACTTTTGTTTAGCACTACCCCATTAGGAGTCCTTGGGTTTTGGGTCACCCTACAGCTTTGCACAGCCAGACAACACACATTTTCTTCCACACATTGCATTCAAAGCCAGTAAACAGTCCTTGAGCTTGGTGTTGTGATTTTATTAAGGGGTTTGGAGTTGAGGGGTGAATGGGATGCCCAAGCAAACTGCAAACTTGAAGACGAACTCCTTAGCAATGTACAAGGATGTGGACACAATAGTCTCTCCTTTGACAGCATTCTAGCTCTCTGGTGTACCTCTTTAGACCCCAGATGAATCCATTCCTCTCCTTGGGAGCACCACAGAGTTGTGACCACGTCTCTATGCATACTAAGTCCATGGCACTAAGCTTCCATCATCTAGGACAGTCTTTCTCAACCTTTTCAACACAGAGAAATCCTTGAAATGACATTTTGGTCTCAGGGAACCCCTGCTAAAAAATGACTGTATCTACAGCTCATGATACATTGGTGTGATGGTCAGTGGGAAGAATGTTCCTTACACTTGTGGTCATTGAGAAGAATTACCCCCTTATAGGTAGCTAAAAATATCAATGGTGTCAGCGGGAACCTATCTGAGAGGCAGATAATGCTCGTTGCTCAAGGAACCCCTAGCAACCTCTGAAGGAACCTGGTTTAAATACCCTGATCTAGGACAACAGGGTGCCCTCTCTAGTATACCACTCTCTCCCTCTCTCTCATTGTCCCTTCTATGGCTCTGTCCAGGCAGGCATGCTTCTGGTTGGCACAATGATTCCAAGGCTTCTACCACTACTTACATAAGAGTCCTCTGTCCAGGCCTTCCCTGGTCTGTACACCTTGCTCTGGACTACATCAATGCAAAGGGCCATTTAGATTAATAATGCAGGAGATTGGCATCCCTGGGGTGTCTGGCTCCCATGCCTTGTCTCCCTAGGCCCCATCCACACTGGCATTTATGTGGCACTACCCCCACACATTACAGTACTAAAGGAGGGATTGCTCTAAAAGGGGAGCCAGGGGCGGACTGACCATTTGGAAACTTGGGTACTGCCCAAGGGCTCGGGGTCAGTAGGGGGCCCCATGAGATGCCCCTGATACCTTTTTCATAGGCTTTTTTGAGTTTGGGCAAGGACGCAGGGGCCCCATGATCTCCTATTGCCTCGGGGCCCCATGAGTTGTCAGTCCACCCCTGAGGGGAGCTTACACCTAATTACAACATTCCCTTGACTGTATGGCACTGGGAACAGAGCCATCTAGTGGCAGACAGGTTAACTGCACCTGCTAACACGTGTATATTACCTACCAAAATTGGGGAGTTTTTGGTCACTTTCTATAAGCAGCCATACATGAGAAAATAGATTTAAGCTCAAAGTTGAATGGTACAATATATGGTATACCAGGGGCGGACTGACAATTTGGAAACTCGGGCACTGCCCGAGGGCCCGGTGTCAGTAGGGGGCCCCATGAGATGCCCCTGGTACCTTTGTCATAGGCTTTTTTTGAGTTTGGGCAAGGACACAGGGGCCTCATGATCCCCTATTGCCCGGGGGCCCCATGAGTTGTCAGTCCACCCCTGTGGTATACAATTGTGACCTGTATCTTACACAGGTCTAAAGGTCCCTCTTCCTGTACTCATGTAACAGTAGGGGTGCCTAAGCAGCCAAGCACCTGCATTTTCACGTGAGAGGAATGGAAGTGAGTCACATGATCCCCATTAGTGCTGAATTATCTTGAATATAATAGTGTCTGGGCAATTTTCAATTCATGCCTCCTGCCAGTTTAATAGAATCATCTATAAGGCTAGTTATACAACGACAATTTTGTATTGATCTGACATGCATTTATAAGGCATTTCTGAAGTATCTGGAACACAGTGTTTGAATTGCTTCTTATGTAATAACATACTCGTTCATCTAAAACTGCATTTGCCTTGCATTGCGTTGGTTTGCTTTTTTCTGTAAGTCAACGTGAATGCATCTCCAGTGTGCCTTAAACTAATCACAGACTGACCTCAAATGCAAGCCATTATTCCCTGAAAGTACTTCAAAGCGTGCTGTCTTTGGCTCCTTTGGCTTGCGAATCTGTCACATTAATGTACACACAGCCTGAAAAATACATCAACAAAGAATATGATTTAGTAAGAAATGTACTTTATAAGAACATAACTTTATCATACTGAATTGTACATTGTCTGTATTTAGTTTGTAAGATCTTTACTTTTGCTTTTCCATAGAGATAAAGCAGTACAAGCATTCCCAACATAAGAATGCAAGGATACCCACCATACAATATCAAAAAAGGCTTGCAATGCAAATGACGAGGTGTGCATCATTAGTAGACTGTAGACTGACAAAATAATGTGGAGAGCACATCTAAAATTGTAGGGTCAGTCATGGAGAATGTAAAGGGAAGGGAAAAATGGAACCAGGGGAAGGGAGCCAGTGAAAGGGTGGGGAAAAGAAAAGATAGAGAGAAATACACATCTGAGGGGAGTAGAGAGAGCAAAATAGCCGTACCAACTCCCAAGAAAAACCAGCAACAAAATCAACAACCAATGTAAATCCTAGCCATTCCCTGGTCAACTGGTCACGCAATAAAAAGCAGGAGGCTCAACACTTGTCTGAGTAAACGCATACTATCACTATATTAATTGTTTATACATGTCAGAGAAGATGAAATCTAACCACGAAATTCATGTATTATAGAACATAGAGTAGTTATCCTTACACTGATGCCGCCACTCCTCAGCTTCCATTGTATCCTGTACCTTCAGCAGCCATTCCCTAACTGTAGGGACCGCCTGAGACTTCCAATAGACTGGAAAGAGGCACTTGCCAGCATTAACTAAGTGAGGCAGCAGCGAATGTTTATATGGACAAATGTGTGTCATGTAATAGCATAGGAAGTGGGTCATCCGCTATCTAGTGTTGGGTCACTTTGATAACTAGGTTACGAACTTTCAACAAGAAAGATCAGAAAACGGGGCATTCCCACCAAAGAAGTAGGAAGGTACCCCTCTGTCCACAGCCTCTCCAACAGTGGACAGATATCTTTGGGTATATGCAAAACAGTCTGTCTGTAACCCTGTACAATCTCGATAAAAATTTTTAACAGGACTTCTGAATCTTAGAATTAATGGAGGAGGTATGGGGTAGCATGGTAATTTTGTCTATACTGCTCCCAGGTAAGCTCCAACCTAGTGGTAGTCTTATCCAGCAAGAGCGTATATCTTCTAGAAAGTAAGTGTGTAGAGTCATTCCTATCAAGACACATCGCTTCAAATCTGAAGAGGGAATCCAAAGGTTGCAGTCCACCCCTTAGGATCTTGCAAAACGTTTTTAAGCTGTGTATATTTCCAGCCATCCCATGGCATTGTTCCCCACTACTGGTGGAGATCTACTAGGGGTTTCAACTCCATACCCTTCATAAATTGAAGACAGCGAACCTCATGAAGCCCATCCCAGTGTGTGAAAAAGTCTTCTCCTGGGGGAGCCAAGAGTAACCTCCCAGTGGTGAAAGTGGTGAGGATAGCTGAGATAAAATGTGTTTCTCGTTCAACCAATCCCAGGTCGCCAAGGTTGCTAGAGAGAGCAGGGAAACCAAGTCCGAAAGCCCTCGGTGTGAGAAAGCCAGGGAGCAGGGGCCAAGTTACGACCCACCAGGATTTGTTCATTATTTGTATTTCAAACATAATAGGAGAATTGAAACATTTAAAACACCAAGATATGTACATATTGATAACCCCTGGAGGGGCCGCTTGAAATAAATTGGTCTCCACAAGTCCAGCTTCTGTCAGGCTGTCAGCTATAGCACATGCTTAGGCCTAGCAACTGGAGCTCCTCTGTATCACACACGATGCCTCCCAGGAGAGAAGACCAGAGGAGAGAGTTCAGTTCAGATCCTCCAAAAATGTATCTTCTCCCCAGCCACTATTTATACTCCAGTGACTGATCCTCCTACACTATTTCTTGAGCATTCTTCCAGAGCCAGGCAGAAGCAATCAGCCACTAGGTTTAGAGATAAACCTGGTCAGACTTAAAAAAAAAGAATTGCAGCTACAGTAGAGTTTTATACTAAATTTAGCCAGCCCAGGGTAGGGGTGTTACATAGAAGATATATATCCACAGATTATTCAGAATCTGCTGTGAGTTTTTCATTTGAAATATTGTACAGAGCAGCTGTTTCAGGTGTAGGCTTGAGAAAAGGCAGAGACATTGAAACTGGTTTCCCTTTGTTTACAGATTTACCACTTAGTTTTGGTTCGAGTGGGAAAGAGACAAACCCTTTGAAAAGTCCCCCCATTAGAAAGATTCACCCCTCTATTTCCTGATGATTCTTGTCACTAAAACAGAAACAGAGGGGACATGCATATTTTAAAATAACGTCAGCGACACTGAATTAAAATTCAATTCAGTGGTAATCTTAGTGTTGTGGACAGGTAGGCACAAAGTTCCTTCCTGGGACCTTATCCCCTGATGCATTTCACCCAAAAACTGGGTTTAAACATTTCTACAATTAAGCTAAGTTTTTGAATCAAGTGAAACTTTGTGTCTGCTTGTCCAAAACAATAAAGTTACACCTGCATTGATTTTAATGCCATGCCCCCAGGCTGTTCGTAGGATCGACTGGTCCTTGGGGCATAAATCATTAATCCAAGTTGTTCCCAGAGCAAGATATGAGTATAAGTCATCTAATTTTCCAGTGACCACTGTCCAAGGTGAGAATTACTCTCACATTGGGAAGAGTTCCCTTTATTTCCTAGAAATTGTAAGGAAATATTTGCCAGGAATGGAACCAATAAAAAATAACCTGATAATGATTTTAACCCTTCTCTATTAAAACTAAAAAAAAAAATGTTTTCACTATACATGCACTTTAGGGCCAGAAGACCGAGAACATATCTGATCTGTAAAACCTTTTACTGTGAGTTTGTTTCAGATTTGATTTGCGCAAAAAAGTCTAAGTAGCTCTTATTGCTCCAACAGACTTGAAAAAACTAAAAGGAAATCTGTGTTAGTTGGAGCCAGAATGCCCCTGATGTTTACACAAGTGCTGTGCTGTTGTTAAGCATCTTTAAATAGCTGGCCCCACTGTTGACAAGGCATTTGTACACTTTACTATCTTTAAAATGCAGTATTGTGTACACCATTAAGAATCTTTCCAGTATGTAAGGGTGCTATCATCCTGTTATTGAACCACTAGGGAGACAATTATGATACCACCCAGAATTTCCTGAAAGGAGTGTAATTGCTGCAATTAAATAGGGTTGTGTTGACAATAATTATATTGGTCATGTGGCAAGTAGGGAGGAAGGGTTAGTACCAAACCTCAAAATTTACAAATTGTGATTTTCTTTTCCTACTTTGTTTCTCTCATCTACCCACGTCTTCTTTTGTGGCTAAGCTCAACACAAGGGAGGGGTTGCAAAGGATAATGAACACAGTTGACATTAAGCCATTGTAAAACATATATTATGGTGTAACCAACACTCCCAACCTCAATCCGTGTAAAGTCTTGAGCTTGAGGGTAAGGGCCATGTAACTGACTAGAACAATTAGTGTATTCCTGCTGTGCACTGTATGTTCAATATAATGCTATATTACCTATCTCTATCTGTATAGCCATTTCATTTTATCAATATGTTTTATTGAACCGATAAAAGCTATTAACAACAAAAAAAGATGATGAGAAGATTCAGAGGAGTCGCTGTAGTTCAAAAAACATACAACCATCTCTAAAACTGGAATTGTAATCCTACTTTGCATTTTGTACACATTGTTTGCATTCAGCCCCAAAACATTCAGTAATATGGGTGACATGGGTTGGCCATCTTTTATCACCCTATTCACTGATGATGTAATAACTACTGGCCTTTATACACTTGCAGCATGGCTGCCAGTAATGCAATGGTTGTTTCACTGCCAAGCCGGCAAAGAACATGGGAAGGGTGAATGGACATTCATATACAGAAATCATTCCAAACTCAAATAAACAGCTTAGAATTCAGTAGGATAACTCCGGTGGGACCACAACAGTTCTGCTGACGGTTGTACTTTTCTAAATGCATAGATATCACTTAAAGGGTAACTCCACTTTCATGGGAAAAAAATTTCAAATAAAAAAATATAGCATATCCATTTTTTTTAATGCAAAAAAACACAATACATAACCCTAATTATTGGTAAAATGTAAAAAAAAAAACGATATTACGCCGAGTAAATGGATACCAAACATGTCATGTTTTAAAATTGCGCATGCCCGTGCAATGGCGACAAACAATGTAAATTTTACTATCCATAGGCAATGCTTTAAAAGCCTTTACAGGTTACCACTTTAGATTTACAGAGGAAGTTACTGCCCATGATCTGCCGATGATACCTCACATGTCTGGGACAACTGCTGTTTGCAAGCGCACTGTACACAAGCATTTGCCTTTGCGCACGAGCAGGAGGGATGGGGGCACTTTAAATTTTTTTAATTATATATTTATATTTTTACACTGTTGCTTTAAAGAAAAAATTGAGCACTTTTATTGCTTGTCACAAGGAATGTAAACATTCCTTGCAACAGCAATAGGCATGTGACAGGTAATCTTTATGGAGAGATCTTGGGTCTATAAGACCCCAGATCCCTCCTCTGCCCTTAAAAGCATTTGTTCACATCAAGATCCGTGTGATCAAATGGTTTTTCTTTTTTAAAAATGGTGCCGTTTATGGCTACATAAACTGGAAGTGATGTAGGGTCATCGCTTCTGGGTTACTATATTATAGAATTGAAAAAAGCCGATCTGGTCTTTGTTCGGCTCTATGATCAGCTGGAGGAAGCTCCGGCTGGTCGATCGGGACTCCTGGTGGGATACGAGATCCTGGTAAAGCTGTGAAAGGGTGTGTGTGTGTAGGGGAGGCATCCCCTCTCACTGCTTGTAATAGCTATCTAGCTGCTAGTTATCCGCTCAGATTGCTATTACAAAAGGGCCAACCGTCGACTCTAAAAAATGGTACTGGGATGATGCCTGCAGCTGCAGGCATCAATCTGGTAAAACTTCTCAAACGTCAGCGATGTACAGGTACATCTGAAGTGGACATACAATTGCTAATCTGGTAAAACTTCTCAAATGTCAGCGATGTACGGGTACATCTGAAGTGGACATACAATTGCTGCACAAGTCATATTGTAATTACATGTTATAAAAAATGACCTTTATTGTTCAATCTGCAGTGATATAATTTTTTGCAAAATTCAATGCAATATGGCAACATGGAGGTTCCAGTTGGGTCTTGAGCGCAGCCAGTTGTGCACTATTATTTAAGACAGTCTTGTAAGTTATTAAATGCAAAATTTGTCATTAGGACAAAAAAATATTTGTGTCGCTACATTAAGAGGCCTGTCAGGGCAGGAATGGGGGAAAAAAGGGCAGCACTAAGAAGACAACCTTAGATGTTGAGTGCATGCAAAAGTGCAATGCAATAATCCTGCCAATCTTTAAAACTGTCCCCTTTACCGTTCTTGCATGTAAGCTCATACCTTCGTTATCTCTCCTGCAGGAGCATTCGATGTTTGCGCAACATAATTCACTGGAATCTCATAACGGCCTTTATTCTGCGGAACGTCACTTGGTTTGTGATGCAACTTACTCTGAGCCATGAGGCCCACGACAGCAATGTGGTAGGCACCCCTGACCTCAATGGCAGTTAACCCCTTTGTGAATTTCACATCTGTACATAGGCATCTTTTTTTTCTCACTGTCTGTTTCTCTGAGTAAGTCACAGTGCTCAGTTTTCAGGATGTGTTCTTGTTTATGACAACGCATTAGTCTCTGGTTACCTGGCTTCTGCCTGCCTGACTTTTTTTTATTATTTTCACTGGTGGAGAGCTGTGCCATTGTAATACTACTGCACATCATTTCAGCATTCTCTGCATCTGAGTCAGCAGTTTGCTGCTTGTATATCAATTCCTTGCAAAGGTGGCAGAGTCTCTGTCCCAGCACTCCAGTACAGCCTACCTGCAGAGATGCACAGACTGCCAGCAGCTGCATAGAGGTGGTGAAATTGCTTGACTGAGGGACATGCAGAATATCGAGGCTAATACTGTACTTACCACCTAACCAATAAAACAACCACCCCCTCAACCTTCTCCCACCTGAATAACCACGCAACTCTCCTTTTGGTGTAAAACCAGCCATAGCAGCCCATTTATTTAACATACAGTTGCAAGAAAAAGTATGTGAACCCCTTGGGATTACGTGGAGTTTTGCATGAATTGGGCATAAAATGTGCTCTGAACGTCATCTAAGTCACAACAATAGAAAAACACAGTCTGCTGAACATAATACTACACAAACATTAGATGTTGCCATGGTTTAATTGCACATAACATGTAAACATTCACAGTGCAGGGAGGAAAAAGTATGTGAGGCCCTAGCTTAATGACTTCTCCCAGAGTTAATTGGAGCCAGGAGTGAGCCAACCTTGACTCCAATCAGTGTGATGATATTGGATGTGTTGCTGACAGCTGTCCTGCCCTTAAAAAACACACACCTGTTTTGGGTTTACTGGTTTCAAGAAGTACTGTCTGATGTGAACCATGCCTCGCAGAAAAGAGCTCTCAGAAGACCTACGATCAAGAATTGTTGACTTGCATGAAGCTGGAAAGGGTTACAAAAGTATCTCCAAAAGCCTTGATGTTGATGTGTCCACGGTAAGACAGACTGTCTACAAATGGAGAAAGTTTAGCACTGTTGCTACTTTCCCTAGGCGCGGTCGTCCTGTAAAAATGACTGCAAGAGCACAGCCCAGAATGCTGCATGAGGTAAAGAAGAAGAGTGTCAGCTAAAGACCTACAGAAAATCTCTGGCACATGCTAACATTTTTGTTGACACATCTACAATCAGGAAAACATTAAACAAGAATGGAGTACATGGGAGGACACCACGGAGGAAGCCATTGCTGTCCAAAAAGAATATTGCAGCATGTTTGAAGTTTGCAAAAGAGCACCTCGATGTTCCACAGCACTACTGGCAAAATATACTGTGGACAGATGACACCAAGATTGAGTTGTTTGGGAAGAACACACAACACTATGTGTGGAGAAAAAAAAGGCACAGCACACCAACATCAAAACCTCATCCCCACTGTGAAACATGGTGGAGGGAGCATCATGGTTTGGGGCTGCTTTGCTGCCTCAGGGCCTGGACGGATTGTTGTCATTGATGGGAAAATGAATTCCAGAGTTTATCAAGACATTTTGCAGGAAAACGTACGACCATCTGTCCGCCAACTGAAGCTCCGCAGAGGATGGGTGATGCAACAGGACAATGACCCAAAGCATACAAGTAATTCAACAAAACAATGGCTGCAACAGCACAGAATACGCCTTCTGGAGTGGCCCAGTCAGAGTCCTGACCTCAACCCGATTGAAATGCTGTGGCATGACCATAAGAGAGCGATTCACACCAGACATCCCAAGAATATTGCTACACTGAAACAGTTTTGTGAAGAGGAGTGGTCCAAAATGACTCCAGATCGTTGTGCAGGTCTGATCTGCAACTACACGAAACGTTTGGTTGAGGTTATTGCTGCCAAAGGAGGGTCAACCAGTTATTAAGTCCAAAGGTTCACATACTTTTTCCTCTCTGCATTGTGAATGTTTACATGTTATGTGCAATTAAACCATGGCAACATCTCATGTTTGTGTAGTATTATGTTCAGCAGACTGTGTTCTTCTATTGTTGTGACTTAGATGACGTTCAGAGCACATTTTATGCCCAATTCATGCAAAACTCCACGTAATCCCAAGGGGTTCACATACTTTTTCTTGCAACTGTAAGTCTTACATAACTCTTCATACAGTACATCCAAATAATAACTGACAGTAATGATCCCAACTGGGTCCAAGGTCTTCAAAGGCACTGTTACTCACATCAATAACTCGGCTGTATCTGACACCCAATGAAAAGGCCCCCAGCCACTACTACACCGCCTCGAGGACAACACTACAGTTACGTAGTCCCAGATACAGCCAATGAACTCCCACCTTACCAACGTAACTTTATAATTGGGAAGGAACACCCATACCTATGATGGATCCAACTCATAATCCACCAAATTGTCACTCCAGCACTGCCTTCAAAGACCCAGCGACCCCTGCCAGCTGCTATGACAAAACAAAAACACCAGACAAACACCTCAGGACACAAAATGCTGATCAAGAAAAGAAAAGAAAATCAATGAACTCACACAAAACAAACAACACAACAAACACAAAGGACAAAACCAATAACCAAAAACAAGCCAAAAATACCAACGAAACAGGTCCACACCCGTGCTGGCACAAACTCCGACTGACATCCGACAAGTCCCAACCCCTCTCCTCATCCTGGCAAGACCACCCTCAAGCTCAAATACTCCAATCAGGTAAGTAACCACCCCTACTTCCTGAATACTCCCACCCAAATCTAATCTCCGCCTCGTCTGCAAGCCCCAGTCATGCTGGCCCTCCCCTTTGCTTCGCTCAGTCCAGGCCCTGACTTATCACTTTGCAGGCAGCAGCAGGAGAAGTTGAGGGAACCCAGATCTGCCAATTATATGAAGGGGAAGCAGTGGTGGTGGTCCTTGGCTACAGCTTTCTCTCCTGCAAAAACAGTAGCGATATCACCAATTCTCATTTCAGATCTGCCAGTAAGTAGTTCCCAGTGAGCAGATATACAGATATGAGGTTGTAGCCTTGGGATGTAAACTGCTATTTTTTAGGTGAAACTCAGGCAAGGGGTAAATCTTTCAGGTTACTGTTGAGGCATAAGTAACATTGTGAGATACCTAAATATAAGCAAATTTTCCTTTTTGAGTTTAGGGTGTTCAAACATTTGATTCCATATTTTGATGAATTTGCAGAACAATTAAAATGGTGGTCTTGATTGACCACAAGGAGAGAGAATTGGAAATGTCCCAGTTGAATCTAGTGAAGAAAAAACTGGATTATTTTTAATAAAATTGTAATAGTATTTTTTTACTTCCTGTACCTAAGCTGTCAATTTATTGCTCGGTCTCTACTTTACAACCTGTTGAAATGAACTGAAATCCTCATCATATATGACTTGTTTTAGGAATTGACCACAAGGAAAGAAAATTGGAAATTTCCCAGTTGAAACAAGTGAAAAAAAACTGGATTACTTTTAATACAATTGCAGGTTTTTTTTCCTTCTTGTACCTAAGCTGTCAATTTATTGCTCGGTTTCTACTTTACAACCTGTTGAAATGAACTGAAATCCTCATATATGACTTGTTTTAGAAATTGACCATAAGGAGAGAGAATTGGAAATTTCCCAGTTGAAACAATTGAAAAAAAAATGGATTACTTTTAACAAAATTGCAGTAGGTTTTTTTTCCTTCTTGTACCTAAGCTGTCAATTTATTAATCAGGTTCTACTTTACAACCTGTTGAAATGAACTGAAATCCTTAACGTATATGATTTTTTTAGGAATTGAGCGATGTGGGAAATAACTGGATGAGAATATTTCTCTTTACATACCATTACTCTGAGGCAGATGCTCTTGTTGCTGGTGGGGACTGTCATGCCCATGAAAGTATTGGAAGTTTGAGGATCTCACTCTTACTCACTAAAGCTCCACGAACACCTCTGACTTGAAACCAATCTCCATTTTCAAATTAATTAACTTTTTCCTGTAGATTTATGATAGGAAGGGCATTTTTGCACAACTTGAACTTGTTTCCAGAGGCAGTATAGCTAGAATAAAATTTACTTTGCTGCAAGGTGTTCTAATGATGATCTGAAATCTCCCCTCAGCTTTTTATCAGATTGTGTTTTCCTCCTCTCTTTGAAGGTCTGGTGTCGCCTGGTCACTATAGCTCACAATTATTTTTATGTTACCAATTTCTTCTGGATGTTTGGTGAAGGATGTTATCTGCACACAGCCATCGTTTTGACGTACTCCACTGACAAGCTACGCAAATGGATGTTCATATGTATTGGCTGGTGTAAGTGAAGGCTTTTCCTTGAAACAAGCAAAATATATTGTCATCACAAGTAGCCATTGTGACTTATATCTATTTTTGTCGTTATTGCTAGCCTTTAGAATTTTTTTTTTTTCCTATGTTTTAAGGGCTTTGATATTTTTCTTTTACAAGAAGGTTTATTGGTTGTATTCATAGTACAAAGGGGTAACAAACAATATGAATGAAAGCCAAAAGAGTAAAAAAAAGGCTGTCATGTAAGTAATACAGATTCTAGATAAAGAGATTATTGGTTGCATCAATAAGGTACACAAAAATGAAAGTACATCAGGGCAGCCAGGAGTTGTATAATAATAGGAGCGAAGAGAATCACTTATATAAAGGCAGCAGTAGAGCTGAGGACTCAGTATAAAGCCCATCGGTCAATGTGGAAAATAACAAAGAGTGTCTGAGCAGTAATAATTGTATGAACTGAAAGCTGCAGTGCACAAAGGAATATTCACAAGAGAGATGGTAAAGTTGGAGAGGAGAGGAAAAAAGTGAAAAAGGGGGAAAAGAAGAAACAGGAAGGGATTGGAAGAAAAGAGAGGGAAAGAGGGGGAAGAAAAAGGAGGGTCCCAGGGGCTCATAATGCTAATTACATCAAACGGTAAGCAGAAGATTATCAAATCTGGCCAGGATGGCAGATGATATCCAGGTTTGCCAAACTCAAAGGAAATTTTCATGGGAGTCATGGTATAGTTGTCAAGTTTTTGTTAACCATTATATCATACGCTCAGTTCCTCACCTCTTCAAAACTGTGGGTGGGAGATTTCCAGGCCCTTGTGATAGTAAGCTGAGTGGCTATGAAGATGAAGGCAACTAGCGTAGGTTCAGTATGGGGAGGAGCGTTGACGGGTTCATGAAATAAAGCCTCATAAGGATTTTTCTGAATATTAGAATGAAAAAGTGTACGGATGAGGTTGTGAGCCGGGATCCAAAATTTGCTCACCTTTGGACAGGTCCACCAAATATGTGTCATGGTACCCTCCTGGGGACTAGAGTTTAATTTTTGTGATTGTGTCTTTCCAGGTATTCCATTTCCCATCATCGTGGCCTGGGCCATTGGCAAGCTATACTACGACAACGAGAAGTAAGAAGTTATGTTTTTGGGTCAACAAGAGTGTAAAGATACATAACTTTATAGTGTAAAGAGAGAAACAGAGGAATTTATTTGTAGAGAATATACACTGTGTGACAGGAAGCCAGGAAGAACTAAGGGATATGTCCAGGATGGGAGGTATATTTGTCCCAGATTCATGCTCTACACCCGACTGTTTTTCCTTTTGTGCTGTGTAGTGAGCCTGTCTGGCTCACTGATGATGTAATGAGCTCAGCTGTAGCAAGTTAAGGGCTTTTGGCTCTTTAAAACTCCCAGGCTGCTTAGGGAGAATGCTCCAATCTTGAACCAGTTTTCTGTGCAAGAAAGACTGGGGAGCAACCAAACAATACTGGGGTGAGAGTAAGTCTGATTTTGGACTTGGAGATGCTCTTTGTGAATGCCATGTGTCTGAGCAGTGGTAGGCTGTATCCAGAAAAAGTACATAGAATCCTGTGTTTGCAGTTAGGTGCCCAATGTGGCGAGGCTTTATTTTCTGTTTTTTTGGGGGGTTTTTGCTGTTTTTGGTTATATGCACTTTGTGATCACCAGCCACAGCACAACTTTCTTCACCAAGATCCTGCTGTCATGCTGTGCCTCTTCCACCATGCTCTGACTCAACCAGGGGGTCAAGCACAACACGCCACTGAGCTAATTCCTCACAATTGATTCTGGAAGTAAAGGATTACTTCATTTTTAAATATGTTTTTCAGTTATACATGCAATACAAATATGTTGCAGCTTTTACCTGTATAATACATAAGATACCAGAAAAAATGGTAGCAACGGACTTTGAAATACATATAGTTATTGGCACCACAAAGGACCTTTTTTATATGAAGCTATAATGTTTATTATGCAAACATCAAAAGCACATATAACCCCATGTCCAATACTTTTCCACCAAACAATCCACATGTCAACTCAATGCGTTTCAAATGATCAAACATCTTACTCAGGAGCACATGTGAATAAAATCAGTATAACGTAACCTGGTCTCCTAAAACTACAAATATATACAGTGTGTTTGAACATGATTAATGTCAATTATACTTTCCAGAGGGGGACAATAAAAGAACGATAGAGTAGCCAAAGAACACTCACATGTGTACACATTTATAAATTGACCCCTATATGTTATCTTCTCTGGCCTAAGTGCAAAGATGTGCAACTAACCACATGAAAACTACAATAAAACTAGGATTTAGGGTTAAACTGTGCTGTACTATAAAAAGCAAGCATCCATCAAACCAAGCATCCAAACCGTTATGTCTTCCGGAGGCAGCTGAGCAGAATGGAGGGCAAGGGCATTCAGATACCCTTTTAGAACGTTTCACCTCCTTTTCACACTGCATCTCTTCAGTCTTATGTAAAATGTTTTTGGATGGTCTAGAAAGGGTAAAGTAAAAAAAATAGAGTTATCCTTTAAGTATGGTCATATAAAGTTTATTACACACTAAGCAAATTCAGGTAACTTCTGGGTTGTCATAATGCTCTGATCTACTGCAGGTGCTGGTTTGGGAAGAAGGCCGGAGTGTACACAGATTTTATTTATCAAGGTCCCGTCATCCTGGTACTGCTGGTAAGGACATTAGCTGATCTCACTAGGCCTGGGCTGTAATGACCTCAGTGTTTGGACATCTGGAACTTTTTTCTAATTTTTGGAGCACAGAAAGCACTATTTTACTAGACCGAAAACAAGACTTACACTTACAATGCACTCACTTTGTTTATAGACAGAGGTAGTAAAAGTCAGTAGTGTACAGTAATGACTCTTTCTATTTTGCATAGATACAATAACTGTATGAAAAAATATTGAAGGGTTCCTTGGATCTTACAATTCAATAACAGCAGACTCGTAGACAGGGGCAGACTGACAACTCATGGGGCCCCCGGGCAATAGGGGATCATGAGGCCCCTGTGTCCTTGCCCAAACTCAAAAAAGCCTATGAAAAAGGTACCGGGGGGCATCTCATGGGGCCCCCTACTGACCCCTGGGCCCTCGGGCAGTGCCCGAGTTTCCAAATGGTCAGTCCACCCCTGCTCGTAGACTAGAACACCTCAACTGAAAAGCAGCATAGCAGTCCATACAAATGGAAGTGTACATAGTTTTCCAAGCTCAATAAAGTAGTAGCATAAAAACAGTATGGGTGGGAGTTCATTCTTCTACAAATATGTTTTTGAACTATGGGAGAATATGCAAATACGGTGGGATTTAAACTTCTAAAATAAGCCACATGCTTATTGTGCACTAAGATGCTCATCATTATACAGGTATTTGATGTTTCACATAATGACTTTTTTTTTCTTAGATAAACTTTATATTTTTATTTAACATTGTGAGGATTCTGATGACCAAGCTCCGAGCCTCCACTACTTCAGAGACCATCCAGTACAGGTAAGTTACCCTTCTCAATGTGCTTTATCTTTATGCTCTTATGTTTTTCCACACTCCAGGCTGCCTTTCTCTTCTTGGGTATCCCTGTTCATTTTTCTTCATTGCCTTCCAGGAAAGCAGTAAAGGCGACTCTGGTTCTGCTGCCTCTTCTGGGAATCACCTACATGCTTTTCTTTGTCACTCCAGGAGAAGATGAAGTCTCACGAATCGTCTTCATCTATTTCAATTCATTCTTGCAGTCCTTCCAGGTAGGAAAGGGAATTTTGATCAGTACTGAGTATATAGAGTATAAAGTATGATATTTTGGGGTCGGGATCATAAGCCAGCAATTTCTTTGTAAAACAAACAGCTTTTTTTCTCTAAAAATGTCAAACAAAGGAGCTTATCAATAAGCAAACAAAATTGGTTTAAAATAGAAGTATGTACCTTAAAAAAATGCTGCATCTGTCTCCCACCAGCTCTGCATAGAGAACTGAGCGATCACTGTGATCGCTCAGTTCTCCCCCGCTGCTCTGAGCAGAGAGCAGTGACTGTCAGTCACTGGCTCTCTGCTCTGCCTCTCCAGTGCTCACTGGAGCACTGGGCTGTGGAGGGCTGGTCCAGGCTTCTGAGAACATTTCAACCATATGGTCAGGATCTTTCCAGAGCCTGAATCTGCTCTGTGATGTCAACTGACAGTGGGCTTCAGCAGTACAGAACTAGCTGCACTCCTGTGATCCATATCAGTACAGCCAAAAAAACTTTGACTATACTTCTCCTTTTAAAAAATGTCAGGTTTCCGCCAAAATGAACTAGTTCCACAACAAGGTTAAAATTTCCTGCCTCCTCCAGGGATCCAGAAAAGGTCACAAATAGCTCAGCAGCATCTTAGCAGCCAAACAGTCTAACAAACCAAATCCTCAATATTTAATGGGACAGAATTGCCCTCTTTCAGTTGCACTGTGGGACAATGTAAGCGGAATACTCTCTGGACGACTTGACATTTCTGTTACCTTTGAGGGACTAAAGTCTCTTTCCCATCCAAGATCTCCTTCGAATTCTGGGACCCATATCAGGAGTTAATAATCCTAGGAAAACTGCAAAACAGTTTTGCCTCTTAATTGCATCACCCTGAAACCCCTTACCATGCACAGGTAAGAATCCCTTCTTTGGTCGCTCTTCTTAAAGGGACCACACCTCCCCCCAAACCATGGTGACAGGTGTGTGTATCATTTTAGTCTTCTGACTCCTTTGAGAGGCACTATGTGCAGTCATCTTAGAAAGGCTTTCAGGGGCCAGGGCAGCCAACCAGTTTCAGGAGTTCAGCAGCCCATATAAGTGGAAATTTCAGTAATTTTTTACCACTTCCTGTCCACCAGAAATCATACAACATTGGCCTCTTGCTAATTCTTTTTGTTTATTTCTTTAGGGTTTTTTTGTTTCAGTCTTCTACTGTTTCCTAAACAGCGAGGAAAGTGTATTTGAATTATTTTAGCCTTGTGGTGGTCTGTCTTCCAGCTTTTTTCAGGACTACAACTAGGGTGTCTATGCGAAGATGAGGAAAATTAAATATGCTATTAAAATAATACGTATTTGCAAATTTTTTTCTATAAAAAATGTGGAAATCTGTTGAGGCAACCTTTTGATTCATGCAACACAGCCATACTATAGAAAAGTTGATACCATTGTTTCCTGTTTCAGTGTTCCATCTTCCAGCATCATCTTTTAGTTAACTGGACAACCAGTCAGCTTTTTTTTCATTAGTCTATGTTTAAACATGGTTATTAAAGAGTCTACTATGCCAAACAACTCGGTACAGACTTCTGTGTTTGTTTGGCATTGGTCCTTGTCTCATTCACTGAAATGTACAACGTAACATCCCTTACTCTTCCTCTCTTTCAAGTGAAATTTCTTCTAAGTAACCCAGGGGCAGGTTGTGCTGAACATAGTCTTAACATTATCAAGGGTGCTCAATGCCAGGGTTTTAATCTTGTTATGTCCATTTTTACATAAAACAATAATGATCATGTGATAAGTAAATCAAAATGTGTATGTGAATAGATCTTTTAACTAGTAATTATATCATTCCATTTTCAGGTGCGCTCTGCAGTCAGAAAGAGATGGCATCGTTGGCAGGACAAGCACTCCATTCGAGCTCGTGTTGCCCGTGCAATGTCTATTCCCACGTCACCCACACGGGTTAGCTTCCACAGCATCAAGCAATCTTCTGCTATCTGACCCACCACTTCTTGAATGACTCCTCTAGAGCTTCCCACCCGTATAAAGCGAGGTTGTAGAGGCTACAGAATTGAGTATGGTCACTAGACTGAACAGTAACCGAGAGACCACATTCCTTGTGTTAAACTAGTTGTATTTCGACAATCAAAAAAAAAAAAAGAAGGAAAGGAGCACCCGAACTTTCCGCCTTAGTGCAATATTGGCAACTGCTAGATTTGAACTGCTAGGGGACTAATGCAGAAACAGAAAACCACTGAAGCAGAGAAACCAATAGATAGAACACAGCACAATCCATAAACTTGTACTGATATATCACCAGCCACAACCAAACAATTGCTGAGAATGTGCATCTAGGCTACCTAGCCAATCCTCTGTGCCTCAACGTGGAAAATGACTGGCATCAGGCTTATCCATTGGTGATAGGAAAGTTGCCTAATGCTTTGTGAACCATTCATTTTCTACACAGACTATGAGCACAACTGACTGTGCCGATGAAGGTGGCTCTTCAGTTCAGGTCACACGTACCCTAGCAGCGAATATAGTGCCATGTGATTGTATATCAAGGGGACCAAATGAACCAATGAAATTATGCAGTGGCCTTCTAGTCAAGTTGGCGTGACAACATTGTAGAAGATGTTTTACTTGACTCAGGAGTAAAGTGGATGAGGCCTGACTTATTAACCAAGTGGCACTGGTCCTACTCGCTTTGTTGCCTGACTTTGTAATAAGACTGTAAATGTAATGCAGCTAGGGCAAGCCTGAAGAAAACATTGTGTCTGTTTAAAATTATCAATCAGTATGCTGGGTCATAACAATTCTATATTAACTGCGAAATTTGTACAAAGAGATTCTATGCGTGAATGTTCTAACGCTGGACCTAATGCCTGACTGGGGCAGAAAAAAAAAGTGCCACTGTGGACCGGATCTGCAACCCAAATAGCTCTGTGCTATGGACATTTTTGCTGCACATATGTGTGTTAGAGTGTTGCACTAAAATATAAAAAATGTCTTTATATATTGTCACGCTACACAAATAAATCCTTAAAATGGTGATGAAAATTGTCTACTAATGTGTGCCACAGCTACTTCTCGGAAACAAGTGTCATACATATGTAAGGGTCCTGAAGGGATTATGTCAGGCTTCTGAGAAAAGGTTACGATGGGAGATGTCCATTTGTCAAATTTTGTATTAGTTCACAATGCAATAATGGACAAATACCAGAGATGTTTACGAAGTAGGAAAAACTGAGTGGAATTATAAAAAAAAATGAAACTAAAATGTGGACCTGTTGGCCATGGTAGCCAATAAAGTTTTAATGGTCTAATGAAATACCGAATGTGATTGGCTGTTGTGTGGTAATATGAAGTATAGTGTCTAAAACCCTGCAAAATGTTGTTCATACCCATGTTCTCCTATACATTGGTCAACAGCTTACAAATATGGGCAACCCAAGGACATTCAGTATTACCTGAGATGGTATTGGGTTGTTATTTTAATCCAAAATATGGTATACGTTTGCAGGCCTTTATGTTCTGGCTGATGTTCTGCTTTTATGAAATTCTCCTATGATATTATTTAGTCTTTGTAAAAAGACAATGGAGGGGGTGCTGCAACTGTGGAGAAAAATAGAGCTAACTGAATTATATTGCTCATTGACGTAAGCTGGCTGATAGATAGGGCCCCCTATCCCCCCTCTCCTTGCTGTGGAGTTTGAATGACCTGTAGTAGAATTCATACAAGTTAGTGAGAAGGCAGATGTGCTGGTTGTGTCCTTGATGACCAGCCTGACTTTATTAAGACTCATTACACTGAACAGGTGGTCTGACACCTATAGGCTCCATGCACACGGGGCGTTTTGATAATGCTGGTAACGTTAGCTGTGTAAAGTCATGTGAAAAACATTAGTTTTTCAGCTTTTTTTCATTCGACTCTTTACAATACCTAACACAGAGCCGACAACCTAATAGTAGGGCACTCTGATCAACAGCTAAATTCCTGGTCTCTAGGTCTGTCATCCCCTCCTACCTTCAGCATCTCACTATTGGATAGTGAGACTACTCGCAGTGATGGGACAATGATATGGTGCTGAAGGTTCAAGGAAGTAAGCGGAACATGACAACCACATGACCTGCAGGGTGTCAGAACGTCACCGTTTTGGGGGATATCGGCTACTATATGGAGATTAGAATGTGGAGGCAAGGGAAGGTGATTGCTCTTCAATTTGTTTGGCAGTTTTAAGTGATAAGCTACATATTAAAGTGTTACTAAACCGAGGACCCTGCATTCACTATATCTGGTCTCCCACAGTATATACAACATGGAAATGCAATTAGTTACATAGTTAGTCTTGCTGAAAAAGACATCCAGTTCAACCATTAAAAAAAAAAAAAAAAAAAAAAATTATAATCCTACACCCACAGTATATCCAGAGGAAGGCAAAAAAAAAACAGCAAAGCATGATCCAATTTGCTTCTGCAGGGAAAAAAATTACTTTTTGGTCCCACAGGACGCAATCGGATATTCCCTGGATCAACTTTACCTATAAATGTTAGTATCCAGTTATATTCTGTGTATCTAGAAAAGAATTCAGGACTTTTTTAAAGCAATCCACTGAGCTGGCCAGAACCAACTCTTGAGGGAGTCTATTCCACATTTTCACAGCTCTCACTATGAAGAAACCTTTCCGTGTTTGGAGATTACATTTCTTTTCCTCCAGACGTAAAGAGTGCCCCCTTGTCCTCTGTGATGACCTCAGGTTTGAATAGCTACTACACCGAGTTCACTATATGAACCACTGATGTATTATACATGGAGATCATATCCCCCTTATGTATTATACATGGAGATCATATCCCCCCTTATGTATTATACATGGAGATCATATCCCCCCTTATGTATTATACATGGAGATCATATCCCCCTTATGTATTATACATGGAGATCATATCCCCCCCTTATGTATTATACATGGTGATCATATCCCCCTTATGTATTATACATGGAGATCATATCCCCCCCTTATGTATTATACATGGAGATCATATCCCCCTTATGTATTATACATGGAGATCATATCCCCCCTTATGTATTATACATGGAGATCATATCCCCCCTTATGTATTATACATGGAGATCATATCCCCCTTATGTATTATACATGGAGATCATATCCCCCTAATGTATTATACATGGAGATCATATCCCCCTTATGTATTATACATGGAGATCATATCCCCCCTTATGTATTATACATGGAGATCATATCCCCCCTTATGTATTATACATGTTGATCATATCCCCCCTTATGTATTATACATGTTGATCATATCCCCCCTTATGTATTATACATGGAGATCATATCCCCCTTATGTATTATACATGGAGATCATATCCCCCCTTATGTATTATACATGGTGATCATATCCCTCCTTATGTATTATACATGGTGATCATATCCCCCCTTATGTATTATACATAGAGATCATATCCCCCCTTATGTATTATACATGGAGATCATATCCCCCTTATGTATTATACATGGAGATCATATCCCCCATGGAGATCATATAGCCCCCCTTATGTATTATACATGGAGATCATATCCCCCTTATGTATTATACATGGAGATCATATCCCCCCTTATGTATTATACATGGAGATCATATCCCCCTTATGTATTATACATGGTGATCATATCCCCCTTATGCATTATACATGGAGATCATATCCCCCCTTATGTATTATACATGGAGATCATATCCCCCTTATGTATTATACATGTTGATCATATCCCCCCTTATGTATTATACATGTTAATCATATCCCCCCTTTATCTCCTCTAATCTTTCCTCATAGCTGAGCTCCTCCATGCCTCTTATCAGTTTGGTTGCCCTTCTCTGTACTCTCTCCAGTTCCCCAATGTTTTTTTTGTAAATTGGTGCCCAAAACCGAACTGCATATTCCAGATGAGGTATAATTATTTTAGTAAATATAAACTGATAAATACCTTTTCTCATCAGCAGTTAGAGCAGTCTTGTGACTTCAGCAGAGCATTGGTTAAAGACTGTAGGAGGAGTTTTCTTTCTGCTTTAGGAGGATGCAAAACCCCTGACCCACTGTCTGGACAGCGCTGTTTGGCCCTGTACTGATCATATGCACTCTCTCTCAAAAACAAATAAAACCTCTCTAGCAATACACATGTGGCTATGGGCTCAGTCTGTCAGGAGAAAAGGTGTGGACATTTGAACAAGAGGAGGAACAGAGAAGAAAGGATCAAAAGTCCTTTTTACACAATGCAGAGGATTAACCCCTTAGGTTCCACAGTGAGTATAACAAGCATGCTTTGCTGCATATACAGACTGATTGTACTGTTGTGGGTTTAGTAACACTTTAAATTCTGTTTTTATCAGAAGAACCACTTAGAAAAAATAAGAGTACCTAAGCAGCTAATACAGCTCTATCAATGAGTAGTGAGATGTTTGGTGGGTGAGGCTTATCTTCTGCAATTTCATCTGCATACAGGTTTCTTTAGGGAGCATAGAAGAGGATTCTTGGAATAAAAGTTTTAGCAGGGATCTTGTAGTGACCACTCTGTTCTAGGTGCTTACATTGGTGCCATAGACTAACTAGAAAAAAAACAGAGGGCAAAATTCGTCCTTTGACACATACAAGCATGGCCTTTGACATATGCATCCCAGGGGCTCTTCTCCATATAGCATACTTGGAAGCCAAAGAAATCTCTTGGTACTCTGTCTTGTTGTCACTTTAATACTAGGGATAGACCTGATGTGGCAAAAGTGTCACTGGCCTGTATCATTTTGTACTGCGGGAGAGGAGCCTGGATCCCACAGTATTGAACGTTGCAGAAAGTCTTCTCCTTCACCCCTCACACTGTCAGCATTGTATCTAAGAAACTGAAGCCATAGGTTACCTTTGGAAGGAAAATAGTGGTTCACGTAAGGCCCAATTACTGCCCAGCTGGGCTGAAAGCTGGGGGGGA